TCTCCCGGGCGCCCCGCCATGTTGTGGGAGATGGACCCTGCTCCCCACAGTCATTGCTTCTCATAGTGTCAATTTCACTTCTACAGGTTTCCTTTTAGGTGCTCTGTTAGTTGTCACAGATCAGAGAACATATGATATTTGTCCCTTTGAGACTGGCTTATTTCATGAAATATGTTTTCCAGATTCATCCACTTTGTTGCAAATGACTGGATTTCATTTTTTTTTTTTTTACCACTGTGTAACATTCCATGAGGTACATATCCCATAATTTCTTTACCCAGTCTTTTGTTGATGGGCATTTAGGTTGATTCCATGTCTTAGCTATTGTGAATTGTGGTGCAATAAACATGGGGGTGCACATAGCTCTTTTGTTTGGTGATTTCATTTCCCTTGGGTAAGTTCCCAGGAGTGGGAAGGCTGGGTTGCATGGTAGGTCTATATTCAGATTTCTACACCAAGAGTGGATTAGGGAACCTTTTCCCCACATCCTCACCAGCATTTGTTGTTTGTTGATTTCTGTATGTGAGCCATCCTAACCAGGGTGAGGTGAAACCTCCTGTGGTTTTGATCTGCATTATTAGTTTGGTGCTTAATGCACTAGCCAGTTCTCATATTCTCAGACTGGAGCTTTTTTTAGATTAACCTGTCCAGGATTTTATTTCAGTTTAGAATGCTGTCTTTCCTCCTTTTTATTTTCTTTTAAATAAGAATGGAGCAGAACATCTTATTTATTTGAGAAGCACAGGGAGGCAGAATGAGCCTCCAGCTACTGGTACATTCCTCAGATGCCAACAGGTTTGGGCGAGGCTCAAGCTGGGGAGCCCAGCCTGAACCCAGGAGTCTCACTCGGGCAGCAGGAACCTGGTCACTCGAGTCATCAGCACTGCATTCAGGATGTGCATGGGGGAAGCTGGACTCAGGTGCAGGCTCTCTGAAGTGGGCTGTGGTGTCTTCATCACAGGCTACGTGCCCACCTCTAGAATGCTGTTTTTATTCTAAACTCAAGGGGCCAACCTCGTTTGTGCCTCTTCTGGGAGAAGGCGTCTGTGCTGCATGTCATTTTGTTAGGACTGTCCCTGCAGGAGCTCATGCCCTCTGCACCACACACATAGGAAGCTCTCAGTGAATGAGTCTCTTCTCTCTCAGAAAACACGTTTCCTTAAGTAAAGTGGAAAGGGGTTTAGAATCTAATTGGATTAACTCTAGCTTATACTTTTATATGAAATACAACATTGTTGCATCTCCAGTTAAGCTGCAAAAGTGTATCTGTGTGGTTTACTTTGACCAGCCCTCACAAAGTCCATGGCCCCTGTCTTTGTTTTGCTGCCATTACACACCATTATGTAATTTAAAAATACTTCCGCATTTCAAGTGCAGCATACGTGTTTTCCCATTTTGCTGCAACTGCTGGGCTGTGCCGGGCTGGAGCCTGGAACCAGGAAGTGCATCCAGGTCTCCCCAGTGAGTTGGAGGAGCTCCAACACTTGGACATGTGCCGCTGCTTTCCCAGCCGCAGTAGCAGGGAGCTGGGACAGAAGTGGAGCAGCCAGGACTGAACTCCGCACCACAGTGCTGGCCCCAGCAATACTTATTAGCCACACAAAGCACTGTAAATTAAAATATTAACCTCTACAATTTACATAGTGCTTTTCACAAATATTTATTAAACATTAATTTTTTAAAGATTTATTTATTTGAGTTACAGAGAGATTTTTAAAATATTTATCTACTTATTTGACAGAATTACACAGAGGGAGAGACAGACAGACAGACACACACAGATAGAGAGATCTTTCATCCACTGGCACTTCCCAGATGGCTGCAATGGCTGTGGCTGGGCCAGGCTGAAAATCCAGGAGCCAAAAGCTTCTCCCAGGTCTCCCAGATGGGTGGCAGGGGCCCAAGCACTTGGGTCATCTCTTGCTGCTTTTCCCAGGCCATTAGTAGGGAGCTGGATTGGAAGTGCAGCTGCTGGGACTCAAACTGGAGTCCATGAGATTCCTGGGTTGCAGGCGGTGGCTTTACCTGCTACACCATGATGCTGGCCCCAACACAGATACTTTCCTATTTCATTAATCTAGTGAAGTATTGCCACCTTGATTTTAGAGGAGGAAGGAGGTTCAGGGAAGGGAGGTGACTAAAGGACACACAGACAGTAAGTAAACGGTTACAATTCCATGACTTTTGAATCCAAAACCCAGTGCCTTTTTACTCGCCATATTGAAACCAAAGGCAGAATCCTCCAGGCACAGGAGACACCAGGCATCAGAGGGGGAGTTATCGCTGAGGTCCTGACCAGCAACATCTATCAGACGGTCTGGCTAGTCCAAACTGGAGCTGGAGACTTTCTCTAGTTGAACGTACCTGAGTCTGAACCTTTGGCCACTGATGTCCTGAAGTGCGTTGGCTTCCCCTTTCCTTTGTATCCCACTTTCGTCTGGTGCACTGCAGTTCAGTATGGGTTGCTCTGAGTCACACAATGCTGGTTTGAGGGTACAGCTTACGTAGAAATAAATTTTCTGGGGGCTGGTGTTGTGGCATAGCAGGTAAAGCCGGGTAAGCCACCACCTGCAATGCCGGCATCCTGTATGGGTGCTGGTTTGAGCTGCAGCTGCTCCACTTCCGATTCAACTCCCTGCTAGTGCACCTGGGAAAGCGATGGAAGATGGCTCCAGTCTCTGGGCCCTGCAGCCACGTGGGAGACCCAGAGGAAGCTCCTGGCTCCTGGCTTCAAACTGGCCCAGCTCTGGGTGGTTGCTGCCATCTGGGGTGTGAACCAGCAGAGGGAAGCTCTCTCTCTCTCTCTTTCAGGTGAATAAACAGATCTTAAAAAAATACTAAATTTTGTGAAGCTCTGACGTTCAGTGTGAAGCCGTGGTCCGCTGATCTACTACTAGGTTATCTACAAATGTACACACCATACGTTGCTAAGGTTTCTTGCAGGCTCAGGGTTTGAGGGGATTGCCGAGGCTCTTCCGTCCACGGACCACACTGTTTCCTGCTCAGGACTGCTGATGGAATAAACTTCAGTGCCTCGTTTTGTTATACTTCCTCCTTCCTTATTGTAGTATTTTTTATTTATTATATTATTTAAGAATATTTGTTCTTATTTAATCGAAAGGCAGAGGAGACAGATCTCCCATCTGCTTGTTCACTCCCCAAATGCCCCCAACAGCCTGGTTTAGGCCAGGCCGAAGCCAGGAGCCAGGAATGCCACCTGAGTCACCCATGCGGGTGTCAGGAACCCAAGTCCTTGAGCCATCATCCGTTGCTTCTCAGAATCTGCCTTAGCAGGAAGCTGGAGTTGGGAGTGGGGCTGGGACTCAAACATAGGCACTCTCATGTGGCTCAAGGGCTCCTGGCCCCAGGTACGCTCTCTGAAATGTCATGCTGTTCTCCTAAGTTCCTCTTGTATGCAGGCCTTCTCCAAAAGCTGGAGATCAGCTAATTCAAGACACCCGCGTGGCTACGCTGGGCTAAGGCTGAGACAAGACATCCGCGTGGCTACACTGGGCTAAGGCTGAGAGACAAGACACCCGCGTGGCTACGCCGGGCTAAGGCTGAGAGACAAGACACCCGCGTGGCTACGCTGGGCTAAGGCTGAGAGACAAGACACCCGCGTGGCTACGCTGGGCTAAGGCTGAGACAAGACACCCGCGTGGCTACGCTGGGCTAAGGCTGAGAGATCCAGGCTGTGCTTCAGCCTGATATCCACCAACACCTGGCTCAGTGGCACTGGTGAGGGAACAGTGCATCTGCGTTTTTCTAACCAAAGTCCTGAAATCTTGCCAGGATCTTACCACATACACACACTCTGCTAGGGACTAAGTCTGTTCCCGTGAATCCTCTACCACTGTACGTGTTGGGCACATGGCGTGTTCTCAAGAGACCTAAGTAAGCGATTCCCAGCCTTCTGCTGGAATTCACTCATGTCAGCTGCAATCCATTCTACGTGGGCTGGTGGTATTTTTTTTAAACAGGCTAATTACAGGCCCTAGCCATACCATCTGGATTATGCATCTTTAAAATTATCATTTGTCTAAACATACGTATTGAGATTCCTACTAGTCCAGAAACCACTCGGTATTGCAGGGAAATCAATTTATAGCTGGAGCAGATGCTACATTTACTCCTATGTATTTTCCTCTCTTTGCCCAAGAGAGGTAGAAGTACTTTAGCACAATAATGAGCGTATGGTTAACACTAATGTGCTGTGCACGTAAGCATGGTTAAGATAGTACATTATGTTTCTTTTTAATTTTATTTTTTTATTTTTGACAGGCAGAGTGGACAGTGATAGAGAGAGAGACAGAGAGAAAGGTCTTCCTTTACCATTGGTTCACCCTCCAATGGCCGGTGCAGCCAGCGCACTGCGGTCAGTGCACCGCGCTGATCCAAAGGCAGGAGCCAGGTGCTTCTCCTGGTCTCCCATGGGGTGCAGGGCCCAAGCACTTGGGCCATCCTCCACTGCACTCCCAGGCCACAGCAGAGAGCTGGCCTGGAAGAGGGGCAACTGGGCCAGAATCCGGTGCCCCGACCGGGACTAGAACCCGGTGTGCCGGCGCTGCAAGGCGGGGGATTAGCCTATTGAGCCGCGGCGCCGGCCCCATTTTGTTTCTTACAATAAAAAAGTAAAAGTACCTCAAGTACTAGACGGCGCTAAATTTCAGAATAACTGTTGGAAAAAAGAAATCAGAGCAGGCCCACAACCTCTCTGGAGATTCAGTGCTAGAAAGCAGTACAATCAGCAGGTAGCGCCACAACTATACACGAGAGCAACCACTAGCAGAAATATGTCTTAGACACTCTGACCTCTGACGAGGCTGGCTGAGTCCAGGCCTCTTCACAGAACTTGAAAGCCCTTCAAGGTCTGGCCTCGGGTCTGCTTCCTATGGCCAACCTCGTAGCCTATTTCCAGTTCTCGGTACAGGACAGTTAGCAAATGGTGCTGTATTTGCCCCACTTTCTCACCAGTTTTCTTGTGGCTATTTGGGAGGGGGAGAGACTCCTATCTGCTAGTTCACTCCCCCAGTGCCCTGAGCCAGCTCCTCCACACAGCCGACAGGGACCCAATCACTTGTGCTGCCACCACTGCTTCCCAGGGTGGGGGCTGAGCCAGAGCCAGGGAGCAGACACAGGTACTGAGACATGGTGTTTCCATGTATTTTTTTTTTAAGATTAATTTATTTCAAAGGCAGAGTTAGAGAGGCAGAGATCTTCCATCTATTGGATGGCCACAATGGCCAGGCCTGGGTCAGGCTGATGACAGGAGCCAGAAACTCCCATCTGGGCCTCCCACGTGGGTGCAGGGCTCCAAGCACTCATGCCTCCTTCTGCTGTTTTCCTAGGCACATTAGCAGGGAGCTGGGTCAGAAGTGGAGCAGCTGGGACTTGAACCTGTGCTAATATGGGATGCTGGCATCACAGGTGATGGCTTAACTTGTTGTGCCACAAAACTGACACTAGTGTCTTAACTAGACCAATTGACACTCATCTGGCTCTAATTTAGCCTTTGAGGCTCAGCCTAAAGGTCTTTTTTAAAAAAGATTTACTTATTTGAAAGAGTTAGAAAGAGGGCAAGGCAGAGATCTTCTATCTTCTGGTTCACTCCCCAACTGGCCACAATGGCCAGGGCTGGGCCAGGCTGAAGCCAGGAGCCACGAGCTTTGTCTGGTCTCCGGTCTCCCACATGGGTGCAGGGGCCCAAGGACTTGGGCATCTTCTGCTTCTTTCCCAGGAGAATTAGCAGGGCGCTGCATCGGAAGTAGAGCAGCTGGGACTTGAACCAGCATTCACATGGGATGCTGGTGCGGCTTAGCCCACTACGCCACAGTGCCACCCCCTAAACATTTCTTCAGTGAGGCTGTCCTTAAGCTCAAATGAGTTTTGGGCTTTGGCTCTCTTTGGATCCATCTAGCCATTAATTCATACTTTCAAAGAAGTCTGGCTTTTTCTTATTTTTTTTTAAAGATTTATTTATTTGAAAGTCAGAATTACAAAGAGAAAGGAAGAGGAGGAGAGAGAGGAGGGGGGAGAGAGAGGAGGAGGGGGAGGGAGAGGTCTTCCATCTGCTTGCCCATTCCCCAAATGGCTGAAACGGGAGCTGCACCAATCCAAAGCCAGAAGCCAGGAGCTTCCCCCACCGTTCCCCCATGCGGGTCCAGGGGCCCAAGGACCTGGGCCATCCTCCACTGCCTTCCCAGGCCATAGCAGAGAGCTGGATCGGCAGTGGAGCAACCAGGATTTGAACCAGCACCCACATGGGATGCTGGCATGGCAGGCGCTGGCCCCCGAGTCTGGCTTTTTCTTTTGTAGCATTTAATACAATTTTAAGTAATAGTAGTAATAATTAAGTAGTAGTCTCTTCCATAGGATTGAAAGTTCTATGAGATAAGGCTTGCTTCTCTTGTTAACCACTGCACTAGTAGGGCCTAATACCTTCTGCACAGTAAACAGGTATTCAATACTCTTTCAGCTGGTTTTTTAATCCACCCATTTCTTATTAGGTATTCTCAGAGGAGCAGGTGGAGAGGCAGAGTTTGTGGGCTTGGAGGTGGAGACAGTGGCTGAATGGCAGAGAGGAAAGAAGTCAGGGTTAAGTCAGTGGGGAGGCAGGAAGAGTGAGGAGGAAACTCTGACACTCAAGGAGGCTTCCCTCTACTCCCGCCCCAAACAAGTCATCAGACAGCAATTTTTATATCCATTTCATCAGTTAGGTGAACATGAGATTATAAAGCCAGCACCGAGTAATTCTGCAGAATCAGAGTGCTTCCCTGGGTCAGACGTGGGCATGGTGAGCGTGTTCCTCCAGCTACGCTCCGAGGGGAACGAGGCATCCGCGCAGACACACGCTTTCCTCTCCGTCCTGAGCAGCTCTCTCTCCAAGGCCAGCACTACTTCTTCTTCGTGGCTCTCTTCCCTTCTCCTTTCTTGGGTTTCCCCTTCCCACGCAGCTTCTTCAGACGTACTTGCTCCTCCTTAAAATCTTGGTGCTCATCTCTGAATGGTGAAGCAAAGAAGTAAAAGTAACAAGACTGGAAAAGCACACCAATCTAGTATTTTCTCTTGGGTCACTGTGCCTGTCTGACTTTCACAGGGCACACGCTCAGCTCAAGGAGCACAAAGTGCCGGGATCCCCAACATCCAGAGGAGCTGTACCAGTCCCGTGAATGCTCCCCACTTTAACCCTGAGCAAAAACCCCCGTCCTTATCCTGCCCCCGACAACCCCTTGCTATTGGCTTACTGCTCTCCCCTTAGCCTGAGGTACTCCCGGAACAGTCCAGACACACTCCCCACGCAGGCCTTTACTCTGCCTGAGGTACTCCCGGAACAGTCCAGACACACCCCCCACGCAGGCCTTTACTCTGCCTGAGGTACTCCCGGAACATCCCAGACACACCCCCCACGCAGGCCTTTACTCTGCCTGAGGTACTCCCGGAACAGTCCAGACACACTCCCCACGCAGGCCTTTACTCTGCCTGAGGTACTCCCGGAACAGTCCAGACACACTCCCCACGCAGGCCTTTGCTCTGCCTGAGGTACTCCCGGAACAGTCCAGACACACTCCCCACGCAGGCCTTTACTCTGCCTGAGGTACTCCCGGAACAGTCCAGACACACTCCCCACACGGGCCTTTACTCTGCCTGAGGTACTCCCGGAACATCCCAGACACACCCCCCACGCAGGCCTTTACTCTGCCTGAGGTACTCCCGGAACAGTCCAGACACACCCCCCACGCAGGCCTTTACTCTGAGGTACTCCCGGAACAGTCCAGACACACTCCCCACGCAGGCCTTTACTCTGCCTGAGGTACTCCCGGAACAGTCCAGACACACTCCCCACACGGGCCTTTACTCTGCCTGAGGTACTCCCGGAACAGTCCAGACACACCCCCCACGCAGGCCTTTACTCTGCCTGAGGTACTCCCGGAACAGTCCAGACACACTCCCCACGCAGGCCTTTACTCTGCCTGAGGTACTCCCGGAACAGTCCAGACACACTCCCCACACGGGCCTTTACTCTGCCTGAGGTACTCCCGGAACAGTCCAGACACACTCCCCACGCAGGCCTTTGCTCTGCCTGAGGTACTCCCGGAACAGTCCAGACACACTCCCCACGCAGGCCTTTGCTCTGCCTGAGGTACTCCCGGAACAGTCCAGACACACTCCCCACGCAGGCCTTTACTCTGCCCTTGGCTCTGCCTTGCAAGCTGTTCCCCAGGCATCTGGTGGCTCACTCGCACCTTCGTGTGGGGCCGATCCCGGAACTGGCCTCTCCCACCCACTGCGGCACTGTCAGGACTCTGGGTCCTGCTCAGCCAGCTCTAAGTCTGCCTGGACAGAGATGCTCCACGTTGCAGGGGGCTCTGTCTCTGTGGATGAGCAGGCCAAGCACCTGGTTAGCGAGCGCATGGATTACTCTGAGAACCTGTGCTTCCCTCCCCTTGCAGATCTGAATACTTTCTTTGCTGAAGGGACTGTCTAGTATAATACTGCCTGGTGCCACAGGAGGCCAGCATTCAAGTTGCCATTTACCATAACCAGTGACTAAATACATGAAAACATTTGGCTTTTCCAGGGATAATTAAATGCTAAGTATTTTCCCCCTGTCCCCAAAGATAGCCACACCTTTATTTTTCAAGCAAATGGAGAACAGCAGCAGAGAAATTAAAATAGAATATGACTTTATCATGGGTTACAATCTTCTACTTGGGAGGTCTGCATTTCACTATTTTTTTTTTTTTTTTTTTTTTTGACAGGCAGAGTGGACAGTGAGAGAGAGAGACAGAGAGAAAGGTCTTCCTTTGCCGTTGGTTCACCCTCCAATGGCCGCCGCGGCCGGCGCGCTGCGGCCGGCGCACCGCGCTGATCCGATGGCAGGAGCCAGGAGCCAGGTGCTTTTCCTGGTCTCCCATGGGGTGCAGGGCCCAAGCACCTGGGCCATCCTCCACTGCACTCCCTGGCCACAGCAGAGGGCTGGCCTGGAAGAGGGGCACCGGGACAGAATCCGGCGCCCCGACCGGGACTCGAACCCGGTGTGCCGGCGCCGCTAGGCGGAGGATTAGCCTAGTGAGCTGCGGCGCCGGCTGCATTTCACTATTTTATTTTGGGTCATAATAAAATTTTTATTTTCTGAGCCCAGACTAATAGCAAGGGAGATAGTCCCAAAGCAATTCCGGATACTCAAAAGACCATGGGGTATAATTTCTAGTATGTTTACTACGGAAATCTATTTTGTTCATTGCTGTTCCCTGAGTGCCCACATGCAAGGAACTGAAGCCATACCTGTTGGATAGATCCATGTAGCAACTGTTAGCTATCTGATAACCTTTAGTATCATGTGTTGTCAGTTTATCATATTAAAATGAATGGTCCCAATTAACTTTTGAATTGTTACTACAGACAAGTCCAATTAAAACATGTTACATTTTTAAAAGGATGGTAGGTATTTTAATGTTAGATAATTTTGTACTGTTTGAATTCTTTTGTAATGAACATGTGTTAGTTTGGTAATTAAATTTTTTAAAGGTTGGTCAAATAGGTATTTGATCTTTTTTCTAGAAGTGTAAGTACCCACTTCCTATACATACACAGGTACAGTGTTAAGAGCCTGTGTGATTCACACATTATCCTTAAAGGCAAACTAAAACTTATTTAGACCAAATTAACATCAAACAGGGTACAAAAATGCCAGAAGAGTGGGAAGAAGTAACAGTGCCAACAGAAGGGGAAAGGTTCCCACACTTCAGCCAAGGAGCAGATCAGGTGTGGGGCAGGGATCCGCTCGTCTGAGAGACCGCTGCCCCCGCCACCCGGGCTCCGCGGGCTTTCCTCTGCAGCCTAATGAATAACTAAATGTCTCTCTACAGCTCAGCATCTATTCACATTTTAGACATAAACTATGTTTCCCAAAAGGTTTCTTTTTGCTTTTGATTTGCCCAATATGGATATATTGAAAGAAGCCTTTCTCACCACAAATTGAATTTTTATTTATGATTCTATTTATTTGAAAGGTGGAGAGAGGTAAGACAGAGAGAAACCTCTCATCGCTGGTCCTTACTCCAAATGCCTTCAACAGCCAGGGCTGGGGCAGGCTGAAGCCAGGAGACGAGAACTCAACCCAGGTCTCCCACCTGGGGGGCAGGGACCTGAGTACCTGAGCCATCGCCTGCTGCCCAAGGGTGCACGTTAGCAGCCAGGTGGAATTGGCAGCAGAGGGGAGACTGCAATCCAACTACTCAGATACAGGATCAGGTGTTCCAAGTGGTGTCTTAACCCTCATGCCAAATACCGACTCCCCACGCTGGACCTTTTGAACCGCCCGGGCTCTATTACAATAATCACAGAACTGCAGTAACAGAAGACTAATGTTTTCCTTTGTCCAGCTACTAAAAAAGAAATCTCAGAAGTCCCTCTTGGTGGTTTTTGTTTGTTTGTTTGTTTTTTTTGTGATCACCTGTAGAGGCCATGAAAACGGAGGATCCCCATGAGCGCAAAGTACGTGTTGTGATTGGGATACCAGTCGTAAGTCTCCTTCCTCTTGGCCAGCGGCTGCTCACTGAACAGTTTCACCACTTTCATAGACTTGGAGTCAGTGGGCCTGGCAACTTCTCCAAACAGCCGGGCACTCAGCCGAGTCATGCGCAAGGCATATTCTGAAAGCGAAGACATTTCTTGGGCAGCAAGGAGCAAGAGTATCTACAGGAAAGGAGAGGAAAGACACACAGGTTAGTATAAAGCACTACAAGATTATGTAATGAACAGTTCAGAAAACGAAGACACAGCGAGCCACGCACGAGTCAGTGCACACTGTGGGCAGCGCATGCCTCAGAGCCGAGAGACCACAGTGCACACGGCCATTTCCTTCGCATGCGGTACTTTTGCGACCCGTACAGTTTGTGTTCACAATGATTATTTCTCTGCCGTCCTGCTCTTTCCACAATGAACTGTTGTGACGCAATATCCATTTAGCTCCTGCAGGCTGGACGGAGGGCGCAGGGAGACCAGTTACCCTGCCACAGAAAACACCCGCCTCGGCAGTCTCTGGGATACACGTGCCGCCCACCAGCCCTCTAGGGGAATCGTGCAAGAGAGGTAAGCACACGGCGGTCTTTATTCCCAGTCCTCGGAACACTGTTCTCAAGGGCTCCAGATGGTTCCGTGAACTGCTAATGAGTTATGAGCTCATCTGGCCTCTAGGTTACTGGACTGAATTCTGCCTAGAGACTTAGTCTTTGGGGAAAAACAGCAGTTCTGTGGAAATAAACTCAACAGCTCAAAGACTCATTTTATTCCTGGACAGAAGGTACTTAAGAATTGCGATGTCACTCATCTTTCATCTTAAATATTCTGCTTTAACGCACACTGCCTAGGTTCTCATTAGCTGAAAAGAGTACCTTTTTCTTTGGGGGGCACAGAATGTTCAGATAGGTTTAAGAATAGTATCTGTTATGTGTAAAAATTACAGCTCATAGACATCAAAAGCCATACTGGGATACACACAAATCAAGAATACTGCCGCTGGGCTAACTATCCCACCCCATTCCAGACCAAATGTAAGGCTTACTATTGGCAGGACATGCCAACTGATGTGAAATTTTGGTAGTGACATGAGAATCTGCTGGCTAAGAAAGAAGCTGATGTCCAAATAAACTCACCTAATGGAGGAATCTCAACAAACCCAAAACAAGAACACAAAAGAGAAGCGCCTGCACGGGAATGGTGCCCAGTAGATTCCAGATCAGCCCTTCCAAGCAAACAGACCGAGCCGTGTTTAATGCCCACCTCGGGTTCCTCAGGAGAGCAGGCAGGGGCTGGCCCCTCAGACCACCTACCACTCTGCCAATCAACCAGGCGGCCTCAGGCCAACAGCGCCACCTGAAGGCTGGCAGTGGGAGAGGTCTGGGCGCCGGGCTGTGCCCCTCCATGCCACCACCTGTCCCGGGGTCCCTGTGGGCCCTGTCCTGCTTTCCCTTTCTCGTTCGCTTCTCTGCCAGCCCCGGACCCTGACCAGACAGAGGGGCCTGGACACGGCGAGGTGGGCCCGGACCCTGCACCTGACAGCGGGGCTGGACACGGCGAGGTGGGCCCGGACCCTGACCAGACAGAGGGGCCTGGACACGGCGAGGTGGGCCCGGAGATTGACAGCTGACAGAGGGGGCTGGACACGGCGAGGTGGGCCTGGACCCTGAGAGCTGACAGAGGGGCTGGACACGGCGAGGTGGGCCCGGACCCTGCACCTGACAGCGGGGCTGGACACGGCGAGGTGGGCCCGGACCCTGCACCTGACAGCGGGGCTGGACACGGCGAGGTGGGCCCGGACCCTGCACCTGACAGCGGGGCTGGACTCGGCGAGGTGGGCCTGGACCCTGCACCTGACAGCGGGGCCTGGACACGGCGAGGTGGGCCTGGACCCTGTACCTGACAGCGGGGGCTGGACACGGCGAGGTGGGCCCGGACCCTGCACCTGACAGCGGGGGCTGGACACGGCGAGGTGGGCCCGGACCCTGACCAGACAGAGGGGCCTGGACACGGCGAGGTGGGCCCGGAGATTGACAGCTGACAGAGGGGGCTGGACACGGCGAGGTGGGCCTGGACCCTGAGAGCTGACAGAGGGGCCTGGACACGGCGAGGTGGGCCCGGACCCTGCACCTGACAGCGGGGCTGGACACGGCGAGGTGGGCCCGGACCCTGCACCTGACAGCGGGGCTGGACACGGCGAGGTGGGCCTGGACCCTGAGAGCTGACAGCGGGTCTGGACACGGCGAGGTGGGCCTGGACCCTGTACCTGACAGCGGGGCTGGACACGGCGAGGTGGGCACGGACCCTGCACCTGACAGCGGGGCTGGACACAGCGAGGTGGGCCCGGACCCTGCACCTGACAGCGGGGCTGGACACAGCGAGGTGGGCCCGGACCCTGCACCTGACAGCGGGGCTGGACACAGCGAGGTGGGCCCGGACCCTGCACCTGACAGCGGGGGCTGGACACGGCGAGGTGGGCCTGGACCCTGCACCTGACAGCGGGGCTGGACACGGCGAGGTGGGCCTGGACCCTGCACCTGACAGCGGGGCTGGACACGGCGAGGTGGGCCTGGACCCTGCACCTGACAGCGGGGCTGGACACGGCGAGGGGGGCCCGGACCCTGCACCTGACAGCGGGGCTGGACACGGCGAGGTGGGCCCGGACCCTGCACCTGACAGCCGGGCTGGACACGCCCGTGACTTCCTGCGCGCGCTCGGCGTGTGCGGCGCCGGTGGAGGCGCAGGTGGCTCTCCGCGCACGGCTGGAGGCCGGTCAGCGCGCACCGGGCCCGGCGCTGCGTGAGGCCAACTTGGGGCAGTGGCGGAGAGAGAAGCCCCACGAGCCCTGCCGGCCTGAGCGGAGGCCGACACGCAGGGCTCGGGCCGCGGGCGGGCGGGAAGCCCCGAACGGCGCCTTCAACGCCGAGAACAAGTTTCAGTTCGCGGGGAACCTGCCGCTCCCACGGCGCCGGGCCGGCTCGGTCCGCCCGGGACCGGGCGAAGGCTGCCGCCCACGAGCGTGCGCCTGGCCCGAGACCCACACGGCCGCTCCGGGGCAGCAGCCTCGCAGCCCCCGGCCGGGCCCGGTCCGCCCGCGCCCCCCACACGCGGCGTCGGCAGCCGCGGGGCTGCTCGGCTCCCCGCCGGACGGGCGAAACCCCGAGCTGGTCACCAGTGACTGCGAGGTCGGCGGCCCCGGCGGGACCCCTGCAGCCTCCGCCCCCGTCCCGCTGCCGAGCGCCCGAAGCGAAGGACAGCCTTACCTGCACCCGACCTTCCTCACCCCCGCGCCGCGGCCCCGAAGGCCCGCCCCCGGAAGGCCCGCCCCGACCGGCTTCGCGCTCCGGCCCCGACGCCGGCCACGGGGAGCAGTAGAGAAGCGGAAGAGCGCGGCTAGAGCGCAGCCCCGGTGAGGGGCCCGGAAGTGCCCGGCCGCTCTCTGGGAGGGCTCGCCGGGAGACTAGCGCCTCCGCCCGTGCGGAGGACCAGGTAGGGCGGGCCGGCGTCCCAGCGGGTCCTCCAGGGTTCGCAGGCTTGGCTTTGCTGGGAACTTTCCAGAACCGCCTCCGCAAGCTCGGAGGCGACAGCCTTGCGTCGGCCCGTTTCCTGTGCCTTTCCGTTCGGGGAGTGCATTCTTAGTGTGGGCGCCGGAGTCTGAGCCGCCGCCCACCTGCCCACCCCTGCCCGCGCTGGGCGGGCGTCTGCCTCGCCGCAGTCCTGTCCGTCCTCTCTGCGCGCTCCGCCGCCGCCAGCCCGGCCCAGGCCCCGCGCGCGGGTCTGAGCGGTGGCTGGAGTGCGGGTGGACCCGCGGGAGCGGTGCACCTGCGCGCGTGGCTCGAGTCCTGTCCGTCCTCACTGCGCGCGTGGGCCGAGTCCTGTCCGTCCTCACTGCGCGCTCCGCCCGGCCCAGGCCCCGCGCGCGTGTCTGAGCGGTGACTGAGGCGCTGGGGTGCGGGCGGGCGGCGGGAGCGGTGCACCTGCGCGCGTGGGCCGAGTCCTGTCCGTCCTCACTGCGCGCGTGGGCCGAGTCCTGTCCGTCCTCACTGCGCGCTCCGCCCGGCCCGCGGCCCCGCGCGCGTGTCTGAGCGGTGGCTGAGGCGCTGGGGTGCGGGCGGGCGGCGGGAGCGGTGCACCTGCGCGCGTCCCCGCGCCCTCTGCTCCCTGCAGACGAGACCTGGGTGGCCGTGGGAACGCGGACGTCTGTGCTGTGGGTTTACGCACGGGGAGAGGGACAGGGTCTGGTGGTGTCTTCCACCCCTCGCTGAGGTATCCGCTGTTACGGCACAGCCTCGCCGGGAGTGAGTCCCAAGTCCCCGCACACTTAACAGCCGCTCTGATGTTCCTCCACAGGACGAGGCTTGTCCGGAAAGAAAGCCGGAGCAGCGGAGGTCGGTGTACTGACGGCTGTAAGAGCTCGGGTCGCACGCGCTGTGTCTGTGAACCTGTGCACGTCCACACTGCGGGGACCTGCAGGCGCCACGCGCAGTTCTAAGTTTGGTTCGTGTTATCAGTAAGCGTTACACTGCGTGGGCCAGCGCCGCGGCTCACTAGGCTAATCCTCCGCCTTGTGGTGCCGGCACACCGGGTTCTAGTCCCGGTCGGGGCACTGATTCTGTCCCAGTTGCCCCTCTTCCAGGCCAGCTCTCTGCTGTGGCCCGGGAGTGCAGTGGAGGATGGCCCAAGTGCTTGGGCCCTACACCCCATGGGAGACCAGGAGAAGCACCTGGCTCCTGCCATCGGATCAGCGCGGTGTGCCGCGCTGGAGGCCACTGGAGGGTGAACCAATGGCAAAGGAAGACCTTTCTCTCTGTCTCTCTCACTGTCCACTCTGCCTGTTAAAAAAAAAAAAAAAAAAAAAGAGTTACACTGCGTGGTGGCACCTCTGACGCCATCCACCAAGTGTTCTCCGTTGTCCTCCCCTGTGGTGGGTTGCCAGGGCGAGTTAGGAGCGGAAGAGAGGCGTCGCCTGGGTGCAGGGCGGTGGCTGCCCTGTGGGACTGCAGGCCTCCTGCCTCTGCCCGGAGAGCTGGGCGCTCCGCTGGCCTGGGCCCCTGGCTGAGTCCCGGCGGCAGGCCCGTGTGTGACCAGAGGAGGCACAGCCCGTGTGCCCAGTCACACAGCTCTGGCGTTTGCCGCTGCTGGATGCCCTAGCCCATCTTGTCTGATACACGCACTCTATCAGATTCTATCATGAATATTCCATGTTCATCTAATTTCATACTTGATCATGTTTCAGTATTTTCTGCCTCTTTTTATAAAAGTAAAATTATCCTTTAGTTGCTTAACTGATTGATTTTTAAACAAATATAAATAAAAATAATAATAATAATAATAAAGCAAAAATAAATAAAAATAAAACAAATATAAATTTCCAAAGTACACCTTATGGATTACAGTGGCTTCCCCCCCCCATAACTTCCCTCCCACCCGCACCCTTACTCTTTCCCGCTCCCTCTCCCCTTCCATTCACATCAAGATTCATTTTCAATTATCTTTATATACAAAAGATCAGTTTAGCATATGTTAGGTAAAGCTTTCAACAGTTTGCACCCATACAGAAACACAAAGTGTAAAATACTGTTTCAGTACTAGTTATAGCATTAATTCACATTGGACAATACACTAAGGACAGATCCCGCATGAGAAGTAAGTACACTGTGACTCCTATTGTTGACTTAACAATTTGACACTCTTGTTTATGGTGTCAGTAATCTCCCTAGGATCTAGTCATGAGTTGCCAAGGCTATGGAAGCCTTTTGAGTTCGCCGACTTAGATCTTATTTAGACAAGGTCCTAGTCAAAGTGGAAGTTCTCTCCTCCCTTCAGAGAAAGGTACCTCCTTCTTTGATGCCCCATTCTTTCCACTGGGATCTCACTCGCAGAGACCTTTCATTTAGGTTTTTTTTTTTGTGCCAGAGTGTCTTGGCTTTCCAGGCCTAAAATACTCTCATGGGCTGACTGATTTGTAATAACATGTAGTTAGGATTACTTGAAAGCAGAGAGAGAGAGAGGGAGTCTCCCATCTTCCTATTCACTCCCTACATGCCACTACAGGCCAGGCTGAGGCCAAGATCCTGGAGCCCAGTCCAAGCCTCCCGCGTGGGCAGCAGGGCCCCAGCTGTCACCGACTGCATGGCAGGGTGTGCATTGCAGGCAGCTACGTTCCAGGTGTCTGATCTGGGACATCAGTGTCCCAAGCAGTGTCTTCACCATGTTCAGACACTCGCCCCAATAGCATATACTTTTGGTCTTTATTAAGTACATACGGCATACTTTTTTATTTTTTTAAAAAGATTTTATTTATTTATTTGAGAGGTGGAGTTACAGACAGTGAGAGGAAGAGACAGAAAGGTCTTCCTTCCATTGGTTCACTCCCCAAATGGCCACAACGGCCAGAGCTGCGCTGATCCGAAGCCAGGAGCCAGGTGCTTCTGGTCTCCCATGTGGGTGCAGGGCCCAAGCACTTGGGCCATCCTCCACTGCCTTCCTGGGCCACAGCAGAGAGCTGGACTGGAAGAGGAGCAACAGGGACTAGAACCTGGCGCCCATATGGGATGCTGGTGCTGCAGGCAGAGGATTAACCAAGTGAGCCACAGTGCCGGCCCAGTTTGTGTTTTTTAAGATTTATTTATTTGACAGGCAGAGTTAGAGAGAGGCACAGAGAGAGGTCTTCCATGCTCTGGCTCACTCCCCAGATGGCCACATGGCCAGAGCTGCGCCGATCTGGAGCCAGGAGCCAGGTGCTTCTCCTGGTCTCCCATGGGGTGCGGGGCCCAAGCACTTGGGCCATCCTCCACTGCACTCCCGGGCCACAGCAGAGAGCTGGCCTGGAAGAGGGGCAGCTGGGACTAGAACTTGGCGCCCATATGGGATGCCGGCGCCACAGGCAGAGGATTAACCTATTGCGCCATCGCGCCGGCCCCATAGGACATACCTTTAAAAAAGATTTATTTGTTTATTTGACAGGGTGACAGAGAAAGAAATCTTCATCTGCTGGTTACTCCCCAAATGGTCACAACAGCTGGGGCTGGGCCAGGCTGAAGCCAGGAGCCAGGAGCTGCCTTTGGGTCTCCCCTGTGAGTGCAGGGGTCCCAGCACTTGGCCCACCTTCTGCTTTCCCAGGCCATTAGCAGGGAGCTGGATCGAAGTGTGTCAGCCAGAGGTCTCAAACTGGAGTTCCAATACAGGGTGCTGGCATTGCAAGTGGTGGCTTAATCTCCTGAGCCACAAAGCTGGCCCCAAATATATGGGAAACATTTGATGATGAGTTCTAAAAATTGACTACAGCTATTCCAGAATTTTTATATTGTTTTTCTTAGTTATTCCTAGAGGCTGAAAGTGAAAGTTGAATAAGCGTATAGACATACTTACTGAAGGAATTCTATATCTTTTGTCTAATTCATAAATAAGATTTATTTTAGGGGCAAATTAATTTTATTATTAAGAATTAAGTAATCAACATGTACGTTTATTGTTGGTTTTATGTCTTATTATAAAAAAATACATCAACTTATCCTCTTAGATTTAACATCATTTCAATTTTGTCTGCTTTCAGTGGTTGAGCTTGGGGTGTTGAGGCACAGTGGAGTACCTGAGGTTAAGCTCTAGCTTGGGGTGCTGAGGCATAGTGGAATACCTGAGGTCAGGCTCTAGCTTTGGGTGCTGAGGCACAGGAGTACCTGAGGTCAAACTTAAGCTTGGGATGTGAGGCACAGGAGTACCTGAGGTCAAGCTCTAGCTTGGGGTGCTGACGCACAGTGGAGTACCTGAGGTCAGGCTCTAGCTTGGGGTGCTGAGGCACAGGAGTACCTGAGGTCAAGCTCTAGCTTGGGGTGCTGAGGCACAGTGGAGTACCTGAATTAAGCTCTAGCTTGGGGTGCTGAGGCACAGTGGAGTACCTGAGGTCAAGCTATAACTTGGGGTACTGAGGCACAGGAGTACCTGAGGTCAGGCTCTAACTTGGGGTACTGAGGCACAGTGGAGTACCTGAGTTCAAGCTCTGGCTTGGGGTACTGAGGCACAGTGGAGTACCTGAGGTCAAGCTCTAGCTTGGGGTGCTGAGGCACAGTGGAGTACCTGAGGTCAAGCTCTAGCTAGGGTGCTGAGGCACAGTGGAGTACCTGAGGTCAAGCTCTAGCTTGGGTTTTGTGGCACAGGAGTACCTGAGGTCAAGCTCTAGCTTGGGGTGCTGAGGCACAGTGGAGTACCTGAGGTCAGGCTCTAGCTAGGGTGCTGAGGCACAGTGGAGTACCTGAGGTCAAGCTCTAGCTTGGGTTTTGTGGCACAGGAGTACCTGAGGTCAAGCTCTAGCTTGGGGTGCTGAGGCACAGTGGAGTACCTGAGGTCAAGCTCTAGCTTGGGGTGCTGAGGCACAGTGGAGTACCTGAGGTGAAACTCTAGCTAGGGGTGCTGAGACACAGTGGAGTACCTGAGGTCAGGCTCTAGCTTGGGGTGCTGAGGCACAGGAGTACCTGAGGTCAAGCTCTAGCTTGGGGTGCTGAGGCACAGTGGATTACCTGAGGTTAAGCTCTAGCTTGGGGTACTGAGGCACAGTGGAGTACCTGAGGTCAAGCTCTAACTTGGGGTGCTGAGGCACAGTGGAGTACCTGAGGTCAAGCTCTAGCTTGGGGTGCTGAGGCACAGTAGAGTACCTGAGGTCAGGCTCTGGCTTGGGATGTGAGGCACAGGAGTACCTGAGGTCAAGCTCTGGCTTGGGGTGCTGAGGCACAGGAGTACCTGAGATCAGGTTCTAACTTGGGGTGCTGAGGCACAGGAGTACCTGAGGTCAAGCTCTAGCTTGGGGTGCTGAGGCACAGTGGAGTACCTGAGGAGAACCTCTAGCTTGGGATGTGAGGCACAGGAGTACCTGAGGTCAAGCTCTGCTCTGCTCCCGTCCAGCTCCTGCTGATGCGCCTGGGAGGCGGAGAGGATGGCCATGTCCTTGGGCCCCAGTACGCACGTGGGAACCTCGGTGGAGCTCCTGGCTCCTGGCTTGGCCTCGCCCATTCCTGGCTCTGCAGGCATTTGGAGCATCAGCCAGTAGACGGAAGTTCTCTCTCTCTCTCCCTTTCTCACTGTCACTGTGCCTTTCAAACAGACAAGTAAATAGAGAAACAAAATTGAGCTTTTGAGATGAATTTTGATAATTTATTTCCCAATTTAAAAAACTCAAAAAATAGGGGCCAATGCTGTGGCATAGCAGGTAAAGCTGCCGCCTGTGGTGCATCCCATATGGGTGCCGGTTCAAGTCCCAGCTGCTCCACTTCCGATCGAGCTCTCTGCTGCGGCCTGGGAGGGCAGTGGAGGATGGCCCAAGTCCTTGGGCCCCTGCACTCACGTGGAGACCAGGAGAAGCTCCTGGCTCCTGGCTTCAGATTGGGCCAGCTCGGGCCACTGTGGCCATTTGGGGAGTGAGCCAGAGGATGGAAAACTTCTCTCTCTGCCTCTGCCTCTCTGTAACTCTACTTTTCAAATAGGTAAATAAATCTTTAAAAAACTCAAAAAATACATTTTAAGATTTATTTAGTTTTAAAAAGATTTATTTATTTATTTGAAAGACACAGTTATGGAGACACATACACACATAGACACAGACACAGACACAGAAGTTTTCCATCCTCTGGTTCACTCTCCAAATGGCTGTGATGGCTGGAGCTGGGCCAGCCTGAAGCCAGGAGCCAGGAGCTTCTTCTGGGCCTCCCATGTGGGTGCAGGGGCCCAAGGGCTTGGGCCATCTTCTGTAGCTTTCCCAGGCATTCTAGCAGGGAGCTGGAAATAAAGTGGAGCAGCCAGGACTCGAACCGGTGCCCATACGGGATGCTGGCGCTGCAGGTGGCAGCTTTACCTTCTGTGTCACAATGCCAACCCCAAAATATGTAGTCTAATACATTTATTTTAGTTGAAGTTTGGTTCTGGCTTTTTCTCAGTGAATTTGATCTAGGTGATTGGGTTTGATGATCAGGATTGACTTTGCTAATTGTATTATGTGACCAAAAGAATATTTTCTATAAATTGAACAAACTGTATCTGCAGCTCTATAGTTTGGCAAAAATATATAAAGTGGTGAGAGGAAAGTATTTTGTCCAAACTAGGTGGAATCAAAATTAACAATGCTTCTGTTTTACTGACTAGCCAAGGGTTACTTCAGGTGAAGTAAGGTACTTCTAAATGAAGACAACAAATACAATTTCTGCAAATCTTAATAATACCTTTTAAGTACATTTTCCCCCAGACATTGTGAAAGTGAATGACTATAATGGATGGATAATGAATTAAGAGTCAAATTGAAAGCAATTTTGCATCTTCAGAAAGATCTAAGGAGCTAGTTAAGTTGTCAGCTGGTAGATCATCACATATATTTCTGTGATAGATTCCTATGCAATTTTTGACATATAATTTGTAAGGAGTTCAAGAACTGGATGATACTGTCTTACGCTGTATCCATGTGTTTGTGGATGAAGCTTGAGGACATGTGATGTGAAATCAGTCACAGAAAGACAAACACTGCGTGATTGCCCTTAACGCGAGGTGTTTAAACTAGTCAAACTTTTGTAAATGGACAGTACAGGGACGGATCCCAGGGGTTGGAGAGAAGGGGAGGGGGTTGTTGTCCCATGAATGTAGAATTTTGGTCTTGCACAATGAAAAGGTTCTATGGTAAATTTCATGTTTCTCGCTACAATGAAGAAAGTGGGTGATCTGCATACCAGGCCTTATCCCAGGTTCCTGTTCACTCAGGTGAGCACACGTTCTCTGGCTTACATCTGTTTATATGAAGGAAGAGAACTGATGCTGTCTCGTTCAAGCACTAAATAGTAGTCAGACCCGGCTGGGTGAACTCAGCGGAGTTGAGCGTGTATCACAAGGTTTATGAGCATTCAACAAAATTCATGATATTTTTAAGTCATTTCGATCATTGTATACAAAAGAATTGTAATGAAAACTCAGAGGAAAAGATGTTTTAACACATCCTTTTAATTACAGAAGATTAACAAATTAAAATCCAACTTGTATGATTTCAAAATAGCTTGTTATAACTAAAAGATATTTTTGTAAGCTGCATGTCAACCATAAAGCAAGAGTCAAAGGAATCAAAGAACACTACTAGAGGAAAATCAGTTCACCACAAAGGAAGATTGTCAGAGAGGGAGAAGGAAATAAAAGAACTACAGTTAAACCAGAAACCAGTATCAAAATGGCAGTACTAAGACCTTAGAAATCAGTACTTACCTTAAATGTAAATGGGTTAACTCCTCCAATTATCCAAACAGATACAACAGCAAGAACCAGCTCTGTGCTCGTACAGGAAAATCACATGGACTGAAAGTGAGTGGATGGGCTGAATATTCCATGCAGTGGCCCCAAAAGAAAGCAGACGTAGCTGTACTTCTATCAGATAAAAAATACTTTAAATTAAAAGTAATGAAAATAGATAAAAAAGGTCGTTCTGTAAGGAGAAAAGGTTTGATCCAGAAGGAGGAAATAACAATTAAATGTATATGCACCCAATATCAGAGCACTCGAATACATAAAGCAAATACTAATATTTAAAGGGAGAGATAGACTAATGTAATAATAGGGGGCTTTAACTCCCTGCTTTCAGAAGTGGACGGAAAATCAACACAGCAGCACAGAATGAAGGTCTTCCCTAGGTCGACTGGACCTGACTTACCTCCATAACGTTCTGTCCGTGACAGCACATGGAACATTCTCTAGGATAGATCACACTGTAGGTCACAAAAGAAATCTCAAAGAATTTAAAAGCATGCAAATCAACACATGTGATGTGACACATCAGCACATTGACAAAGATCATTTGATCATCTCAGTAGCTGCAGAAAAGGCATTTGATAAAATCCAGCATGCCTTAGCACTAACATCTCTGAACAAATTAGGTACAGAAGGGATGCACTTTAGTATAATGAAGGCCTTACATGACAGGTTAACTAACGTCACACTGAATGACAAAAGTCAACACTTTCTAAATCTGGAACAAGACGAAGGTGCCCACTTTCTCCACTTTATTCAACATTGTACTAGAAGTGCTAGCCAGCACTATTAGGCAAAAGAAACAAAGTCCATCCAAGTTGGAAAGAAGGAAGTCAAATTTTAATTGTTTGCAGATGGCATGACTGATGGAAAACCCCAAAGAACCACCAAAAAGCTGTAGAACTAGTAAACGGGCAGGTGCTGTGGCGCAGCTGGTTGAGCTGCTGCCCGGGCTGCCTGCATCCGGTACTGGAGTGCCTGGAAGTGAGTGCTGCTTCTGCTTCCCACCCAGCTTCTTGGTCATGCACACCCTGGCAGGCTCAAGTCTCTGCGTCCCATGTGGGACCTGCCCCTGACTTTGACCTGGCTGGCCCTGGTTGTCATGGCCATCTGGGGAGTGAACCAACAGATGGAAGATTCTCTCTCTTCTCCCTCTCTCTCTTCATTCACACACACACTCTCTCTCTCATTCTGCCTTTCTTTTTTAAAAATTTTTTATTTTATTTTTAACTTCTATTTAATAAATAAAAATTTCCAAAGTACAGCCCTTGAATTTCAGTGGCTTTTCCCCACCCCCATAACTTCCCTCTCACCCGCACCCCTCCCATCTCCCACTCCCTCTCCCATTCCATTCACATCAAGATTCATTTTCAATTATCTTTATATACAGAAGATCAATTTAGTATATATTAAGTAAAGAGTTCAACAGTTTGCACCCACACAGAAACACAAAGTGTAAAGTGCTGTTTGAGTACTAGTTATAGCATTAACTCACATTGAATAACACATTAAGACAGAGATCCTACATGAGGAGTAAGCACACAGTGACTCCTGCTGTTGACTTAACAAATTGACACTCTTGTTTATGGCGTCAGTAATCTCCCTAGGCTCTAGTCATGAGTTGCCATGGCTGTGGAAGCCTTTTGAGTTTGCCATCTCTGATCTTATTTAGACAGGGTCATAGTCAAAGTGGAAGTTCTCTCCTCCTTTCAGAGAAAGGTACCTCCTCCTTCGATGGCCCATCCTTTCCATTGGGATCTCACTCACAGAGATCTTTCATTTAGGTCATTTTTTTTTTTTTTTTTTGTGCCAGAGTGTCTTGACTTTCCAGGCCTAAAATACTCTCCTGGGCTTTCAGCCAGATCCTAATGCCTTAAGGGCTGATTCTGAGGCCAGAGTGCTGTTTAGGACATCTGCCATTCTATGGGTCTGCTGTGTATCTTGCTTCCCATGTTGGATCGTTCTCCCTTTTTGATTCTATCAGCTAGTATTTGCAGACACTAGTCTTGTTTATGTGCTCCCTTTGGCTCTTAGTCCTATCATTATGATCAATTGTGAACAGAAATTGATCACTTGGACTAGTGAGATGGCATTGGTACATGCCACCTTGATGGGATTGAATTGGAATCCCCTGTCTGCCTTTCAAATAAATATAAATAAGCTGAAAAAAAAAAAAACCAAATTAGTGGAGTTTCAGGCTATCGTGTTAATGTGCAAAACCAATAGTGTTGTTACATGCTGATACCAAATTATCCAAAAAAGAAACCAAGAAAGCAATCCTATTTCCTATGGCTAAGATAAAATTAAACAGAGTACCTAGGAATGAATAAATAAATAAATAAATGAATAAATAAATTGAAAGACTAATGCATTGAAAACTATCCATCATTGATGAAAGAATTGAAGAGGACACAAAAATATGGGAAAACATGCTGTGTTCAAGGACTGGAACAATCAATATCACATCACTAAAGTATCCTATTGTGACTTACACAGTCAGTACAATCTCTACCAAAATGCCAATAACACTTCTTACAGAACTAGAAAAACACTACCAAAATCTGTGTGGAACTACAAAAGACCCCAAATAGAGCAATCTTGAGCAAAAGAAACAAAGCAGGAGGCACTGACTTTAAAACACATTATGTAGAGCTGGCGCTGTGCCGTAGTGGCTAAGCCTGCACTTGCTGCACCTGCATCCCGTATGGGCACCAGTTCAAGTCTCAGCTGCTCCACTTCTGATCCAGCTCTCTGCTGTGGCCTGGGAAAGCAGTAGAAGATGGCCCAAGTGCTTGGGCTCCTGCACCTGCTTGGGAGACCTGGAAGAAGCTCCTGGCTCCTGGCTTTGGATCAGCACAGCTCTGGCTGTTGCAGCTATCTGGGGGAGTGACCCAGCCATGGAAGACTTCTCTCTCTCTGCCTCTGCCTCTCTGTAACTCTGCCTTTCAAATAAATAAATAATATAAAAGATTACAAAACTCACAGTATTTAAAACAGCATGATATTGGCATAGAGCAATGGAACAGCAGACACATGTTCACAACCTGTTGGTCTTTGATAGACGCCGAGGCTCTGCTGCTGACACGCATTGGGAAATGACAGCTTTTACTGAATGAAATTGGGAACGTTGATATCTACAGGCCAAAGAAGGAAACTAGAACCCTGTCTTTCACCGTCGATACAAAGATCAACACAAAATGGATTAAAGACCTAAATGTAAGACCTGAAGCCGAAACTCAGGAAGAAAACATAAGGGAAACACTTCAGGACATGGGAATTGGCTGGATATTTTTGGATCAGACCCCAAAATCACAGAAAATAAAAGCAAACGTAGACAAAGTGAACTTCATTAAACTAAAGGACTTCTGCACAGCAAAAGAAGAAACCAACAGAGTGGAGACAACCTACAGGATGGAAGAAGATATTTGAGTCAAAGACTAACACATCCTGGCAGGGGTGTGGAGAAAGGAGGTCCTTGCCCCTGTTGCTGGGAGTGTAACTTAGTGCACCGTTGTAGCAGGCGGCATGGAGGGTCCACAGGAGGCTGGCAGTGGCAGCACTGCATGGTCCAGCGTCCCCTCCTGGATGCGTAACCAAGGGAAGTGAAATCCCACGCCCCACGCTTACTGCAGCACCGTTCACAGCAGCCAGGAAGTGGAAACCACCCAAGTGTCTGTTCACTGATGGATGGCGAAAGAAATACTGAACACGTGCACAATGGGATATTCAGTGATAGAGTGGTCATTCACAAAGGCATGGCTGGGACTGGAGCTATTATGAGAAGTGGAATAACCCACAGCGAGACGTGCACTGCTGATCGCACGCGCATGTGGAGGCTGAAGATACTTCATCTCATGGAAGTTAAACGTATGATGGCGGTGCGGGGCCAGGCTGTAGTGGAGTTCACATCCCCACTCTCTGTCTTTCAGATTGCGTGTTGTCTGTTAGTCGGTCTACACATTCATCCGCCCTTCTTTGTCACTGTACCAGTTATGCTTTCGAGTCATCCAGTTCTTTTTTCAGATATGTTTCTCAATCCTGAAGTTAAGATTGTTTCTTTGTTATTGTTTCTGTTATTTTGGTGGTGATTTCTATATTTCTATTCACTTAAGGAGTATTTGTCTCCTGAAACTGCTTCAAGTCCATTCAATATTGCCAAAGTCTGGGTCATCTTGAAGTTGTGGTTTCTTGATTTCCAGTTCCCTTGAAAATTGTTCACAGTTTCTCAGTTCCTTCTATATTGAGTCATTTTGGATTCAACCTGAACAAATTGAATATTACGTTGTGTCTCAAACCTATTGAAAGTCACTGAATACTGTTGATTTTTGTTGGTTTGTTTCAGCAGGTAGTAACTGTGGTTACGTTCACACAGTTCTGTACCAAAGATCTAAATGTAAGAGCTAAAACTATAAAATTCTATGAGAAACACATATGAACATTACTGTGACATTGGGTTAGGCACAAAGTCCCCACAAATTATAAAATAAAACTTTTGACAAAATGTACTTCATCAAAATTTAAAACTTCTGATCTCAGAAATACACTGTTGACAAAATGAGGAGGGGCTGGCCCTGTGGAGCAGTGGGTTAGAGCCATGGCCTACAGGGCCAGCATCCCTTATGGGCACCGGTTTGAGACCCGGGTACTCCACTTCCCATCCAGCTCTCTGCTATGGCCTGGGAAAGCAGTAGAAGATGGCCCAAGTCCTTTGGCCCCTACACCCATATGGAACACCTGGAAGAAGCTCCTGGCTCCTGGCTTCTGATTCAGCCTGGCCCAGCCCTGGTCATTATGGTCATTTGGGGAGTGAACCAGCAAATGGAGGATCTCTCTCTCTCAGTCTCTCCTCTTTTTCTCTAACTCTGTTTTTCAAATAAATGTGTCCTTAAAAAAAGGAAAATGAAGAGACTAGCCTAGTGGGAGAATGTATTTGACAAACATGTGCTTGATAAAGAACTTGTATGCAGAACATGTAAAGAACTCTTACAACTCAAAAAGAAGACAAATGACCCAATTAAAACATTAGAAAAATTGTGAACAGATACTTCACCAACGAAGACATACAGATGGGAAATAGGCACTTGCAGAGATCCTTAATATCACAGGTTATCAGGGACACACAAGTTAAAGCCAACATCCGGAGCAGAACGCCTAAGATTAGAACAGACAATACCAAGCACTATTGTGGATGCAGAGCCTACAGGGCTGGAAAATGGCACAGCTGCTTTGGAAAATGATTTTCAGATTATTATTAAATTAAGACACCTACCAAGAGGCCCTAATTCGGGACTGGCATTGTGGTTCAGAGGTTAAAGCCATCACCGGTGATACCGGCATCCCATATGGGTTCCGTTTATGTCCTGGCTGCTCTACTTCTGATTCAGCTCCCTGCTCATGGCCTGAGAAAAA